TATTTGGTTGTTTTCGGTTCAACTTGGTTGTGCATAATGAAGGCGGTTTTACGGGGGTGGGGAGTATGAAAAGGAAGAAACTTTTAGATTCACCAATCAAAATCAAATGAATACTACACAATCTTACTCGACTGGAGTAATACAATTGGAGCTATCTGTAAGCACCATGCTAGGGATTTGTGCAAATAAGAAATAGGCTAGATTAAAATAACTTTAGTGCATCACCAAGTTCAGTTTGCTTTATCAGAATAATAAAGACAGTATTCACATCGTAGGGTTTTAAGGCATAACTTAGTGTCTAGACATTCCTTTGTCTAAGTATAAACTTGAACTAACAAAGTTGTGTCTCAAGCTGCCGAATAGTTGAGATGTTGGATGAGCTCAGTTGCATTCTTTTCAGCCTTCAGCTGTAGGTGTATATTTAGGGCGTGTGTGACTATGCACGGTGATGTTGAAAAGGCGGAATTAAACAGATAAATAGACAAAGAAATAAGCGCCTATTCACTGCAAAGTCCGAAATTATTCAGTGCATCATAGCCTTGTAGAAGATGCCAAAGACAGGGCGATTAGGAAAGTTTGCAATAGTTATCCGGTTCTCTGTGTAGAGTGGAATTGCACCACAACTAAGAGCGAGACTATGGTCTAAAGAATAAGTTAATGAGAAATATCGGTAAGACAGTAGGACGGTAAAGTGAAGTAACTAGGAATCAGGAATCCAACAGATTCAGTGCAGAATGAAGTAGAGTAATAAAGAACAAGTGAAGTAATAGGGTCATCCGTGAAACCGTCTCCTGGGGACCTGCTTCCATGCGTGGTAGTACCTCCAGTGGTTTCACCCGCATCTCCACGCCCCGTCTTGTCATGTAACTGTGTGGTTTAAAAGCACGTTTGCCACTACCGAATTTATTCATCCTCTGGGCAATTGCTTTGTCGGTGAGCTAATTACTCAAGCCGGTCAGCCATTTCGTCATTCATAGTTTTTTGTATGCATGGTGACCGGGATCACCGGATGACTTCATGTGCCATTAAATGTGAGTTCAACAGTTCAGCTTGGACTGCTTTTTAATTTCTGCACACTTTTTATATTCACCAGTGTCTTTTGACGTTGGTCTACCTGTTGCTTAGAGGCTTCAAACCATCACCTCAGGAGATCGGGCCACTCGTGACCAAGGGAATAACAGGAGAATAAGATGAAATAGTTAGATTAGGGGGTAGAAATATCAACGAAATAAGTAGCCGCATAACATGTCTCGCGACATTGTGGGATGCCGTATGACTGGGCGTGATAAAATATTGCGTAAGCTTATTATAACTGGTAGCGTTATTAATGGGTTGTCTTCTCCTTTCAATACGCAGTGGGTGAGGCAAATTATCCGGATATTATAGTACAGCAGAATATTTAAAATATACGAAGGTGTGATAAAACAAGTGATACACTTTTTTGTTTCTTTTCCTACGAGTGGGAATTATAGGTCATGTTGTTTGGACCTGATGAAATTAACACATCTGTAGACACTTAAAGATGGAGTATTTTCATTATGTTCTGCATGGTGAGAAAAACTCCCAAGTTCATTTTAAGTTGGGCTAAATTTTCACCTTCCCGTTCTTTCAATGGTATCTTGTTCCTTATATGAGTATACCTTATCAGAAAGGTTGGAAGGGAGCTTTAAGTTCCCCATTTTACGATTAGTGAGGAACCCCTAATTCTTGTGGTAAAGGTTGAGAAATTTTGCAATTTAAGTTCTATCCCGATCGTGTACACCTGGCAGTGTATAATGTTGTAAAAGAGAACTAGATTATTTCTCAGGTGGCGCAACCATAGAGAGTCTAGTTTAATGTGGCGACAGCGGTCTTGATAGTTCGGAGTGCTGGACCGGTCAATAAGGAGTTTCGTGAAAGAATACTGTGTGTTTTCTAATGCTAATCGATCCGTTCTACGTAGGTGCATAGGGATAATTGTGCAGAACTCCAGCATAGATCTCACGATAACCTTAGACATTTCTACTCTGTCTTCGGGTAGAACGAAGGATTTTAGTTATATAAGCTTTCAATTGTCTGGTCTTTGCTATCTGATATGAGACATGTTCAGAAAAGTTTAGCGATATGGAATACACAATTCCAAGGTTCCTAATTAGAGAGGAGTTTGGGATGTTTGTACCTGCCAGGGTGATGGAACCATCCGGTATGCAGTATTCATTCCCAAGCATTTGCTATTTTCCAGTGGCGAATTTCATGGACCATATTTTACTCGAGGAGTCCGGCGCAGATAAGTCCTCATGTATGTTCTTAAGGTCCCGGTAGAAATGAGTAGACGAGATTAATATCTTCTGCAGAGGTATGATTGTCCATGTTTAATGGAATCACATATGCCATTTGTACACATTAGAAAGTGTAGTGGTCCAAGGACACTGCCTTAGACAACTCCGCTTGTATCTTCTTTTGATTAGGTGAGTTGCTGGCCTAATTTAACGCTCTGTACCCGGTCTTCTAGGTAACATTTAAACCAGCTCAGCAATGGGTTGCGGACTCCGTAAGAGTGCAGGACGGACAACAACGGTGTATGGCCCACGATCGAACTCCTTGTACATGTCCAGTGGGATGACCATAACTGCCATGCCACTGTCAGCAACCGATGTTGCATGCTCGAAGGATTGTGTTTGACATGTTACACAGGATCCCTTCATGAGAAAGCCGTGTTGTGCGTTGTTAAGAATTGAACAAGACCATTTTTGACAATTCGCTCCAGTGCCTTTGAGGTTGCCGCAGTATGATTACTAGGGCGACAATTCGTCATTGCAGATCAGGAGCCACCTTTGTGTTTTTGTGCTATTTTGGAGTATTTTCACTGTGGAGGAAAATATCCACTCTTTAGGGATAATATGTAGACGTTTAACATCAGCAGAAGAATGTTTTTGTCTCCATATTTGATGACCGCTAGAGGAATATCATCGGGTCCTGACTGAAATGACGGTTTTATGGAGAGTGTACTCCTTTGAACATCACTCAGTCTCACGGGAATACTCCAGAGCGCTTCATCTGTCCTCCGCTTTAGAAGAGGATGGGACATACTGATATCTGTATTGAATGAGGCCGCATAGTAAAAGTTCACTGCTTCACACATTTGGCTAACGTCATCAGTTGTTGAGCTATCTTCTAATGTCAGATTTTGAATTTGATGGTTCTGCTTTGGATTCCTCATGTTGAGAAGTTTCATCAAGGTTTGTATCCTTTGTAAATTGTTTAGCGCTTTATTTTCTGTGATTTCCACTTGAAGTGCCTGATGTTTTTGTCTCAGTAGAGTCCCATGAATCTACAGTAATGTTGTAAAGTCATTGTTTTGCGATATTGGGACCTGCTTTTCTACAATTTGGTGGTAATTTTGAAGCATGGCTTGCGTTGACTACTACTGTTATTGTGGTTGTTCCACAATGTGGGTGCTAATTAGGTCGGTACAGGTGATAAGATTGTTTATAAATTTGTTCATGGCTAAGGTTGGATCCTGTGTTAAGAAGAATTTATCCCAACGAAGGGTACTGAGGAGCCTGTCAAATATGATCCAGTCAATGCGATGGATGCAACGAGTAGACTTGTCACTCACTCCTAGTTTGTTTACTATTTTAATATTCATGCACCGTATTGTGTTCGCAGCCCATTAGTAAGCTGTTAACTGTGACGAGCACTGATGGAATGCCCATGGTAAATAGCACATCTAATCTGTGGGCTCTTTTCGTGGTTTGATTAACTGGTTGAGTCCAGTCATTGAGCTGAGTACTATGGATTATTCCCATGAGGCTTCCTGATACTTTAAGTGTAGGCGTCATCCAGTCAATATGCGGCAAGTTCAAATCTCCACACACAAACTTATGATTGTAGGAAATATTTGACACCGCGTTAATAGCATCAACTAGTTGTTCAGTATAGTGATTGGTAGCGTTATACGATCTATAGATGCAACCCAGTAGTAGGTCACTGGAAACTATTGCTGAGCACAACGAATCTTCTAAGTCACTGAGGGTTAGAAGATCAACGGCAATCACTATAATCTCATTTCGAACGTAAATAGCGCATCCTTCTCCTCGTTTACTCAGGCGATCTTTTCGTAACAGGTGGTAGCCAATAACTTGAAGCTGAGAGTCATTTGTGTCTGAGTTGCACCATGTTTTTGTGATGAAAACAAAATGGGGAGTTTTAAGACAGACGAAAGTTGTAAGAAGAAGCAATTTAGGTAGTAGGGAACGAGTATTTATGACAGCGAAATCTAGACCATATACGGAAAGAGGTGCTGCAGGGAGGGTTAATGGGGACTGTTTGCTAGCATTGTGGTGTGCCACAATGAGGCACTCGTGATTTGGTGATATCTAGTTTGTATTGATTCCAACGAAGATGTTCTAGTACAGCGATCATCTGTTGATTCATGGGGCCTAGTGGTGGAAATCCCAGTGGTGAGACTAATGGGGATATGGTATCATAAAAAAGGATTTTGAGGGATTTGCATGACAGGGAATGGTGGCGGGGCATAGACTAGTTGTTGTGGGAGCAACTGAGGGACGCTATTATGCGGACTAAGCATTGCCTTACGGATTTCCGAATTTCGGTCAGTGGCTGTAGCTCTACTTGTGTTAATGTGCTGCCAATCTGGGTTCGGAGACAGCTGTTAGGGTGTTCATCCGAGTTTCTACCATTGATCCTACAGCCAGTTTTAGTGTCACTAGTTGACTCACGAAGTCGCTTACTTCGGGAATGATTTAGCAAGTTATACTAGTTTCGAACCTCGTTGTTGAGCTGCTAGTTTACGTCACTGACCCTCACCTGATCTATCCAATTCGAACTAATTGGGTCTATATTACTTCTTTCACCCCTAACTTTGATTGTAGTGGTCTGATGATGAATCATTGGAAGTTGTTCACATATGATCTTGTATTCTCAAAACCTAAATCAGCATTTCCAAGTTACTGGATTTTATCCACGTTTTACTGTCTACTTTTTTCTTCTTTCCTCAGAATCCGAGAAGCCTCTACCTTTAGTGCTGCCTAACCAGTGGCTTTGGGACATTATTGATGAATTTCTGTATCAATTTCAAAAATTCTCCAATTTCCGTGGCCGTCAGAAGCATCGTCCAGAAGATGAGGCCCAGCTGCGTGAAAATCCGCGAATATGGCGCATCCACAGCGTTCTCAATGTGCTTTATTCGTTAGTGGAAAAGTCCGGTATTAACGAGCAACTGAGCTATTACGCCAAACAAGGTACCACCTATGTATTTCCTTTTTTGAGACCACTTTTTCGGCGCCCCGCCGGTTTTTATCATTGCCTACCCGTTCTCTTTCAACGATTGAGTTATAATGGATGGTGCCTCTGGGCTCCTTGAGAGCTATTCCTACTAGGTTGGCCAATGGTTAGTCAGACAAGCTCAGTCTCCTGGTCCTCCAGATTGGGTGTTTGAAATGAGATGGCGTCCATTTTCTGTAAAACTAAGTCATTATCACCTTTCCACTGCCTTGTGGACAGGATTTTGAGCCAAACTGTTTGGTTGAGATCCCTAGTTGTCCTTCTATCTAGATCTGGGCGCTCTGACATTATCTCAGTCCGCATACAACCATGACAATTTCCAAAAACACTAAATATATCTTGCATCGGCCGTCGCGCAGATTATCAAGGGCCGCCTTATCTGCTGCATACAGCTGGGCGGATAAGCGAAGACATGCTACTGCTGATTCTTCTCTTCTTTCTTTTCCACCTGTTTCTCTTACTCCCATCCCGACCCCACTACTAAACTTCCTTCTATACTTCTCAGCTTAATTGACGGCAATCAAAGTGCCACTGGAGTAGAACCATCTGCAGTCACCTTCTCGCAACTACCACCATACGCCTGTCGGCAACAGACCCTTATAAGGCCACACTGTCCCGTTTCCCTGGCGGCGTTCAACGTTCACACTCTAAGACAAACCGGTCAACAGGCTGCACTCGCACGCACCTTGGATATACTGGGTATTGATGTGTGTTGTGTGTCCGAAATTAGGATCAATGATCCTAATGGCGTTATTGAATTAATTGCACCCGGCTTATCCTCTCGTTATTGGTTGCATGCATCCGGAGACGCCGATGCAGCACTCTCTGGTCGAGCTGGTGTATCATTCTCACCTCCAAGGCTGAGCCATCGTTGGTTGATTGGATTCCGGTGAATAGTCATCATAATCATCATTATACATGTCAGCTAGAGATGGTAAAACACCTCCGCTATTGTACCGCAATACATAAAGGAAATACATACATACATACAATAGATAAAGGAAAAATAAATACGACAGTTGAATGCCAGCTGAGCTACCAGCAACGGATACGCATCGTTTCGGTAAGCTACTAGCCGGCTACTAGGCAAAAAGAAAAATTTAATTATGTTTTACCCTACGAATTAAGATCGTAGATGGAGGGGGAGGCTAAAGGGATGGGGAGGGACAAAGAAACTCACAGCAGGAACGCCACTGAGGTCGGCTCCTTGCCATATCAGCAAGTGTATCCAGCCAAACGTGTTCACCGTCTTTTGGACCCCATACAAGGGAGCCGTGACGCTCCAACCGAGGCCAGCTCCGAAGTGAGGGCCTTCATTCCTCTGGACCAAGTCATCGCTTGGCCACCTCTCCTCTTCTTCCACCCACATCCCCGGTGAGCAAACAACGCACGTCGAGGGAGTCGGTGGGCTGGCATGCGCAACACGTGGCCGAGCCATCGGAGCCTGGTGCGGGAAATAACGGTGCTGAGCGATTCAGATCCTTTTCCTGGGCCGTAAACAAGGCGTCGAACACGCTCGTTACTCACGCGGTGTTCCCACCAGATGTGAGCCAAACTGCGAAGGCACCGATGGTCGAACGTAAGTAGCCTCTTCATGTCCGCCGATCTTAGGGGCCTGGTTTCGCAACCGTACAGTAAGGTCGAACGTACCGCTGCATTGTACACTCTACCCTTCAGGGCGAGAGTAATGTCGCGCCGTCGCCATAGGTGGCGAAGGTTAGCAAAAGCACTTCGAGCTTTCGCTATGCGGTTCGTGATCTCGTCTTCGATCCCAAGGGCGCTGATACAACTTCCCAGGTAATTGAATTTCTGAACGACTTCTAGCTGATCCCCACCAAGGGTCAGCACAGGGGGCGAACCCTGCCAATCCTGGAGGAACGCTTTGCACTTCGGTGGTGCAAAGCAAAGCCCGAAGCGACTGACAGCCAGTGCTAATTTGTCCAGCGCGGCTTGACACGTCTGGGAGCTGTCACAGATGAGGGCAATGTCGTCTGCATACTCTAAGTCAAGAAGTCGTTCTCCTGGGAGTAGCTCCACACCTTCCAAGTCATGTCCTGTAAATGCAATCTCCATGACTTCGTCAGTAGCGAAGTTGAATAGGAAAGGTGACAGCGGGCATCCTTGTCTCACACCGCTGGAGATATTGAAGGGTGGCGACAGCCTGCTGTAAGCCCTTACTCTGCCCGTGCTACGCGCATATAATGCTTGGATAATATTTACATATTTCTCGGGCACACCTTTCCTGAGTAGACAATTCCAAAGGGCACGTTGATCAACCGAATCGAAGGCACCTTTGATGTCGAGGAACACGACTAGGGTGGGCCGCCAATATGTGTGACGGTGCTCCAACAACTGACGCAAGGTGAAGATGTGGTCGATGCAGCCACGACCCCGACGAAACCCGGCTTGCTCCTCACGAATCTGGCTTTCACGAGCGCCAGTCAGTCTGTGGAGAATTATGGACGCGAGTAATTTGGAGGCGATGGAGATCAGACTGATTCCTCTATGGTTGCCGCATTCCGAGCGCGAGCCGCCTTTGAAGATGGGAACAATAACGGAGCTGCTCCAGTCGGTTGGGACAGTTTCCTGCTCCCACAGTTTCACTAGTAATTCATGCAAAGCATCAACAAGAGCAGAGCCTCCAAATTTGAAGAGAGCTGGAGGAAGATCATGTGGTCCCGCGGCTTTGTTCAACTTCAACAGTCAGATCTCACGTTCGACTTCTGAGCGAGAGGGTGGATCCAAAGGGACAGCCCACGGAGCGGGGCGATCAGTGACCGGCGAATCGAACAATTCTTGCCGATTAAATTGCTTTTCAAAATGCTCAGCCCAACGCTCCAGACGTTTTGACAAATTGTGGATAGGCTGTCCATTCTCGTCACGTATAGTTTCACTAACACCAGGTCTCCTGCTGCCCGTTTCCCGTATCAGGCGGAATAACTTACGATGGTTGCCAAGGGCAGCGGCCACTTCCATCTCTGACGCACGATGAGACCACCAAGATTCGCGGTCTCTCTTCAGGCTAGCACGGAGTTTTGCCCGGAGCTCTTTGCGAGTTTCATTGTGCTCGCTTCCAGCCGGGATTTGCCGGCGAGCATCTATAAGTTCCAGAGACTGCGAAGAGACCCAATGTCCATGTTGTCTATTAGACATACCACATGAGGATTTGCCTGCTGCTAGTAAGGTCTGGCGAACATGTGACCAGTGCCCATCAATTGTCTCCTGTGAGCGCTTGCTCAACTCGCATGTTAGCGTACTTCGATACGCATTCAGAACAGCTGGTTTTGTCAGTTGGCTGGTGTCAATACGCTCACAGCGTCGTCGTGGGCGTCCGCCAAAACGCATCCGCATGTCAGCACATACAAGTGCATGATCGGTGTCCACACATGTGCTCCAAATCGAGCGACAATTCTGGATGCAGCCTCTCCAGCGGTAACTTATCGCAATGTGATCGATCTGCGTGCAAGGCTGGTTCGAGGTTGGTGGGCGCCAAGTCACCCTTCGGCGGGTGCTGTGTCTGAAATTAGTGCTCGCAAGAAATAAGCGAGCATCTTCACACAAATGAAGTAACCGCTCACCGTTATCATTACGGGAGCCTACACCGTGTTGACCGCCCAGATGCAGTTCATCAGTGGACAACTTTCCAACTTGTGCGTTCATATCCCCCGCCAGCACAACAGTGTCCGTGCTTCTTCTGTGGCGAAGGAGCTGGGTCAGTTGGCGGTAGAAGTCGTTCTTTACCGAATCATCGCTACAGTTTGTGGGCGCTTAGGCAGCGATGATGAATAGACATCTATTAGTCCCGCGCGACTTCGAAGCTTTGAACGAGCCAGCCAATCGGACCGCACACATCCGGCTACTGATTGGAATCCAATCAACCAGAGCAGCTTCAGCCTGGGGACTCAGTGCAATACCAACACCGGCTTGGCCGGTGCTCGAAGCTGCATCGTCACCGGATAGGCGCAAGGAGAAAATACTGCTTGCGTCCCCTGAAGGGGATCGCAGAGTGAGCACAGTGCTCGAGTCTTGCAGGCGAGTCTCTGATAAGCAGCAGATATCGATCGAGAGGGTCTCCAATGTTCGGGCAAGTGCTGCCTGTTGACCGATTTATAGCAGTGTGCGTACATTGAGGCATGCCAATCTGAAGGAGGATCGAGGGCTCCAAATGGAAGCCGATGAACTGGATTGGACCGCTTGGTTGCACATGGGCTTGTCGACAGGAGAGGAGTGACGCTCCGCGTTCACGTGTGAGTTGAAATTAGAAAGTAAATGCCAACAAAGCATGTTGGGGGAGGGCCAAGAATCGGGTTGGTTGAAAACTGGGGGGGATATAAGTGAAGTTGGAATGGAACGTTAAGAGTGAAAAAGCGTAAGAGGGGAATAAGAAGACGGGAAGGCTTGAGCAGTAGCATCCAAACCCCTATCCACCCTGCTCGATGCAGCAGATAGGGCATCGTTTATTATCCTCTGCGGTGGCCAGAGCATCAAGAAATTGTTTGAAGGAAAATTCATAGTATTGCGTGGGCAGGATACTGTCAGGTTGCCCAGGCCTAGACAGGAGAACGATTAGGGTTCTCAACCAAAGCCTTTGGTTCAAAAAACCTGACCGCAAGGCAGCGGGTTTGGCGTTGGGCTACAAGGAGTCCATTTTAAGGAATAAGGTGCCACCCTCATTCCAACCCCCAACCTGGTGGACCAGGAGGCTGAGTTTGTCTGGCCTCTAACCATTGTCCAATCTGGTATGAGTGACTCTGAAGGTGCAAAAGCACCACCCAGCGTAGCTCAATGGATCGCTGAGGCACACAAACCATCGCACCACGGTAAGGTCCAGCCTCATTGCGATGGTCCGGTGAATTGCCGTTTATGTGCAGCCCGTTTGACGACGTCAGCTAAGGTTGATTCACGATGTAGTAAAAAAACGCTATTTGTTTGTGATTTCCGTTTATGCTCCCACGGA